GTTCATGTAATATTTGCACCCAAAAGTGTATGTATACAGGGACACACACACATTCTTGTTTGATAACATAATGTTAGTATCATTTTGTGTTTTATTATATAAAGTTTAAATATTTTCAGAAAAGAGCAAAAGTTAAATTTTTCTATATGACATTTTTAAGTACCATTGATAATATATGAAAAATGTTTCTTAATTGACAATACATTTTATTTTATATTAGGTATTACTTCTTATCTTGGAATGTTTTCAAATATCATAGCCTGAGAGAACCACGGTGGCAATGTGGATGGAAGGTAAATACTTAGTCTTTCCTATTTCATCTCCCTCTCCACACTGACTTCTGGCACTAAGAAAGGCTTGGTACTTCACAGCCCTGAGCCCTGTCGTGCAAATATTTCAGCAGATTCTGGGACGGAGTGTTGATGTGGGAAGAGTCAAGGAAATGGCAGGGCTGGAGGAGGCCAGAGGAGACGGGAGAGGGGAGGAGAGGCATATGTACCCCTAAGGGATGAGAGAGACAGTGTCTGACATCTGGGAACACTGAGGAGGGAGGAACCCTTGGAGGGAAAGGCCCAAGGCATCTTCCAAACAGTCTTGTCTTGTCTTTGTTGAGAGCAATGGGTTTCATAGTTTAAGGCTCCATTATTTAGCACATCATGGAGCCACTATTTTCGGACATTTTTTCTCATTCTCTTTTTACCCTAGACCAAAAAAACAAAAAAAAAGATGGCAAGAACAGACCTTGGTGCACTTCTGCAGTCTGTTTGCCAGGCTCCACAGCCTCGTCCTGCCTCCACAGCTCCCACCCAAGGATTCCCAGAGCTGCAGGAATGAGATTTTTTTTTTGCGATTTCATTCCTTGTGGTGACTCCCCATGTCACCTTCCTGAGGGCCATGGTAAACTATTCCTCTGTAGTAAAAATACCCGTGGTACTCTTTTCTCTGCTGCCTCTCTCACATATAAGATGACAGTATTAAAATTGCTTATGTTGAATGTATTGTCATATTTCAAAATTATTTACATGGTAAAATAAAAGTATATTCTTTATTTTTTATTATTTTTTTAAGTTGAAGTATAGTCTGTTACACTGACTATAGTCCATTTCTGGTGTATAGCACAACATCCCAGTCATGCCTACATATACATATATTCACACTCTATGTTTTATATTTTGTGTCTTCAACAGTGTTTTACAAGGAAGAAATAGAATCTTGGGTTAAGGAGGGAGGAAGAACCTCACATGGCTGAGTTACAAGTAGAAAGTCAGAGTTCTCTGTGCCTCCATGGGCTCTCCCTGTCTTCCTTCACATTGCCCCTCTGTCCTGTTTCTGTGTATCCAAACCTAAGTATTCTGTAATCCCCAGTTTGAGGCTCCACCATGCTGATCCTTTTAGCTGGAAGTCATTTCTCTTGGCTCTGAATTCACAACACATTTAATTTGTATCTCTTTTATGGTACATACGCTACCTATTTTGTGGCATGGTCCTTTATGGACAGTTCTGTGGCCTCATTGTGGGACAGTACCTATGATACGGAATTTGTATCCACATTACTGCCTGACTGTACTCACACAGATAAGAGAGCCAGTTGAAGTATTTTGAGTAGGAGCTGCCAAAAACTTAGAATTTCCACTGAAAAAGTAGCAACAAATTATTTTTTGAATGTCTAAAACTTCATCCAATTATATTTTCCCAAACTGCCTCTTTTTGTGAATATTTTCTTTCCTTCATTTAAAAAAAATACAAAAAAAAAAGACTGAAAAAATGCCTATTTAATAGTAAAGGAGAAAAATGAATACTCTTCAAAACTTAAACAAATCTTCCTTTCTGCTATTTGGTTTATCTTTTCTTTATAAATAAGATTTCTTATTTCAATGTAGCAAGTCCCAGCATTTAACTATTCATTGTTGCTTATTCATTAATGAAGACGAAAATTTTCTGTGGGGGAGAAAGTTTTCTCATCAAAAGGGCTCCCTAATACAGTCGTTCCTCGGTGTCCAGGGGTGATTGGTTCAAGGACCCACCCTGGGAAACCGAAACTCTCAGATACTCTAGTCCCTTGTGTAAAAAGGTGTAGTGTTTGTATATAACCTATGCACACTTTTCCACATATTTTACATCACCTCTAGCATATATGCTATGTAAGTTGTTGTTGGCATGCAGCAAATTCAAGTTTTGCTTTTTGGAACTTCCTGGAATTTTTTTTTAAGTATTTTCTATCCATGGTTGGTTGCCATGGATGTAGAACCCACAGATACAGAGGGCCAACTATTACAAGTATTTGTTCACAAAGCCCTCTAATCTTCATTTGGTCTTTTAACATATTAAGAAACATAAACAATGCATACTTTTTTTAACTGGCAGCGTAAGCAGATAAGGTAGGGTGTCCATTGGAGAAGAGAACCAGGAATGGCTTTCTTGACAGAAGAGAATTCGTTTTTGGCCTAAGGCATTTTGTGATCTAAGCCTGGTCAAAAGGCTTGCCCTGGAACAGGTCTCAGCAATCCAGGGTCTTAAGGAAGCAAAGAAATGCAGGAACAGAGGGAACGCAGTCAAACAATAGTGCAGGAGAAAGCAGAGTCCTAGTTCCTCCGCAAGGGAGACACATAATAATGAATCTTTGAGTTCTGTGGCCACTAAGGCCCCTACCCAGGTGGAAGTTGGAATGATAGATGATGTTGACCCTCCTAACTTCAATCAACTGAGACTTGGACTCTGTCCACCTTTGCCCCAATTCTATGTGAATTCTCCTCTGCTCCAGCTGCTTCATGACTATGGACATACCCTTAGCTTAAAACTTCCCCAGTTTTTGCTGTTCAGGGAGACGCTGCTTTGGGAAAGACTCCTAGCGTTCTCCTTGCTGCAGGTAATAATAAATCATTCCTTCTCCCCATTTTTGATTTGGTCATGTCTATTGGCTTGACACCCACCAAGAGGCGTACCTAGTTTTCAGGTAACACCAAGGATATTAAATCCTCTAAATCCTGGGCCCCCCAAATCAATCAGAGTATAGGAAGTTAAGTCGCATCTGTGTTTCCTATCTGGTAGCTTTCATCCTCATCACGTTATAAAGCAGTTCCTCCGTATGGATGGGTTTCCCACCAGTATCATCTGGAGAGCTCCTTCTGAAAGTATATTCTCAAGACCCACCCAAATCCAGACACTTTGGGGGCTGGATCTCCCAGAATCTTTATTTTTAGTTAACTTCCCAGATACTTAATGCACCCAAAAGTTTGGGAATCACAGGCTGAATTCTTATCCACCTATAAGTACAAAGAGAAGCAGAGACCCCTACAGAATTGCCCAAGTGCCCCTTAAACCAAGAGCATTGAGAGAGTTGTCCATCTTCTCTCCTTTTTCAAAGTGTCCTTTTTCTTTGTAGCTTTCTCTCAATATTTTATTTTGGGAATATCCAAACAGAGAAGTTGAAATGATTGTACAGTGGACACCCATATACTACGTTAACATGTTACTGTAGTTTATCACAAGTCTCTCCTTGTATCCACCTCTCTATTCATTAACTCATCTTTTTTTTTTCCTTTTGGATGAATTTCAAAGTAAATTTCAGATACCAAGGTGTCTAATTTGGGATGATGGTGACTTGAAGAATAACAAGGCAGTGAATTCTTGTAGCTCTGGTGGAAACACTGGCTTTATTGGAAGGATTGGTGGCTGCTTGCCCTCAGCAAGATATTTAGAATGCATTTGAAGACAGGAGGATAGTTTTGGCTACATTCCAGTTGCCCCTGACTGTTTGACCTTGGATATGATACTGAGCCTCTTGGCCTTGTTTCTGAACTGAAGTTGGGTCCACTTACCACTGTGCAGCAAAGCCAGTTTACTGACACCAAGTTGCAGAGAAGGAAAATAGAGCATTTATTGCGTTTATTGCAGGGCCCAGCAAGGAGAATGGACTGCTCATGCTCAAGAGACCTGAACTCTTTGATGGTTTTGGGGGGACAGTTTTAAAGACAGCATTTGGGGTGAAGGTTGTAGGGGGTATGACCTTCTTCTGATTGGTTGGTGGTGAGATAACAGCATGATGTTTCAGGAATCTTAGTCATGAGCCTTCTGGTTCCAACCAGTCTGGGGTCTAGTGCTTGTGGGTCTGTATGTAGTCACCATCCTCCGCCTGGGTTGGGGAATTCCTGCAGAAGGACTCAAAGATCTGTGTCAGATTGTTATGTACATCCCTTGAGGAGGAGCTAGGACTGTTTCCATACTGACCTGTTGTTTCTTGACTGCTTTTCCTTAGTTTCTGCATTCTCTCACTTCCCTAATTAGTAACTGTTTGAATCTGCCCTTTGGAACTCACAGAAGGCCTAGGTGACTAAAGCATTTTTTACAAACAAGAAATGAGGAGACGCAGAGACACTTTTGTACCTGGGAGGGCCCTCCTGCTTGTTTTCAGCCTCGGATTTCTCATCTGTAAGTGAAAGTAATGACAGTACCTGCATTATATTATTGTGGAGAGACTAGGTGTGCCTGGTATGTAACTCAATCACCTTCGGCTGCTAAAGTATACTTTCCTTAATGAGTTTAAATTCACACAAAATTAACATGTGACTCTAGCAGCTGGTGAACGAGAGACAACTCAAACGATTTTGACAAGCTAGCCTAAAAGGAATTCAGAGAGGAGGAGGGAGCAATCCTGAAAATCCTTCCAGACAACTCCTTGCATTTACAATGAAATCCAATCTTTATGCTTTCCCCAATTTCCCTACATTGTATGTTGCCTCTGCCTACATCTCCTCACCTTCGCCGTTGCTTAAACCTAACCCCAACAGCCCTTTCAGGATGAGCCGAGTTCATGCGGTCCTTCGGCCGATTGCACTTGTTGCTTGTTCCCTTTTCTTGAGCCTCTCCCCAGATCTTTACAAGTTAGAAGAAGGGTAACGCCTGACGGCAGGGGGCGGGGCTGGGCGGAGGCGGGGCTGGGCGGAGGCGGGACTGGGGAAAGGAATCGGCCGGAAGCAGGGCGGAGTCGGCCGGAAGTGGGCGGAGGGCCAGGAAGTGACGGCCATACCCGCGGAGTCGGCGGAATCTGTGAAGTCGGCGACGTCTGCTCCGGCCCTGCGTTCTTGGGCCCTGGGCGATGGAGAACGGAGGGGTTTACAGAGAGACCACAGAGGCGCACCCGGCCTCCGCCAGAGGCCCCCGTAGCAGCCTCGCCATCTACTTCACCCTGGGCCGGCTCAAGGGGCGCTGGGGCTACAAATTCTCGCAGCTGGTGAGTCTGCGGCCGGGGCGACGGCGAGGAGGCTGCCCAGCTGCTCTCAATCTGGCTGTTAAGGAACGGGCGTTTTCACACCCTCAGTTCCTTCCCTCTGCGCCGGGGGGCGGGGCGTCCCCCTGCGGGTCCCCACTTCTCGCCCGCGTCCGCCACCCTCCAGGTCCTTCCCCTGCAGGGTCCCCCGTGGCGACTTAGGACCACCGAGCACCGTAGGCGGGTGCAGGAAATGCGTCGGAGTAGACCCAAGTCAGCCAGTTAGACTTCTTTCTCGCGTCCTCGTAGCGACCTTCTTCTCTTCCTGGCTGTTACTCTGCATTATCTTCCAAGAGTGCCTGTATTTAGACTATGAAATGCTTTTTGTTCATCTTTCTCTGGTTCTTGCGGTTTTCCTGGTGCGAGCCCGTGGGGGCAGTTTAATTTGTTGGACAGTCTTCCGATACTACGCACTGCATTGAAATGTGTGTGTCCAGTGATTTGTCTTCCAGAAGTTTTATATTGACTGGAAAATTATTATTTCTGAAAGAGCAGTATGTGTGTACCGAATACAGAGTCAAACGAACAGCTTTATTTGTGTTTGCATGCAGGGCTAGAGCATGGTATAGTTCTTTTTCAATTTGATTGTGTTTCAGTTTAGGCATTAGTTAACGACCTTAAACCTATTAGTGAAAACATCAAAACATCTTTGAGGTTTAAATTTTAATTCAGATCACACACATACTGAGCTCCGGTGTTCTGTTTTAGCCAACCGTAAACAACATTTTTTGCAAGAGGAAAAATCAGACTGCTTAGAATGGTTACTGGTTGATTTTTTTGTGCGTTTGTTTTTTAACCATCCCAAGTAAAAATAGCCAATTGATTTCCTTGGGAAGAACCTAAGTTCTTAGAACTCGGATAACCAGAACTTACATTCTTAGAACTCAGATGACCTACTTTTGTTGACTAGAAAAATAGCGGTCAGAAAACTGACACTACTTTTTAGCTGCCAGAACGATCACCCCTGGGAATAATTGGGAAATCCTTGGAGGCAAGTGACATTGTGGCTTATGGACCCCAAGAGGGTCTGGCTCTAGCTCCTTTTAGTTCCTTTCTGTTCTTAGCAGGCGTCAGGGGTCCCTTCTCCCATGTTCGTTTGCAGGGGCTGTTCCTTCAGCCCAGAAGGGCTTCCTTCTGCTCTTCCTCTTGTCAGCTCTCACATGACTTTTTTGGGGGGCGGGAAGAGGGAGAGGTAATTAGATTTAGTTATTTATTTATTAGAGGAGGTACTGGGGATTGAACCTAGAACCTCGTGCATGTTAAGCATGCAGGCTACCACTTGAGTGCTATACCCTCCTCCCTTCACATTACTTTTAGATATCAGCTATGTTTCTCCTCCTTAGAGCTAAAATGTTTTTACATAAGTAGTAGAACTCTTTAGAACAGAAAAGAAATTTTTTAAACATTTTTTATTGATTTGTAATCATTTTACAATGTTGTGTCAAATTCCAGTGTAGAGCACAATTTTTCAGTTATACATGAACATATATATATTCATTGTCACATTTTTTCTCTGTGAGCTACCATGAGATCTTGTGTATATTTCCCTGTGCTACACGGTATAATCTTGTTTATCTATTTTACAATTTTGAAATCCCGTCTATCCCTTGCCACCCTCCGCCCCCTTGGCAACCACAAGTTTGTATTCTATGTCTATGAGTCTATATCTAGAACAGAAAAGAATTAATATTCATCTGAAGCACTCTTACTGCTCAAAAGACATCATCAGTACTGGTCAGTTGCCTTTATTTTTCCTTTCTAGTCAGAACTGGCAAATCTAAGTTTCTCATTACCTTGTTTATACTTTAATAAGTTGTAGTTCCATATCTCAGAATAGAATACAGCTGGAAGTTTGGGTGGTAGGCTTGGATGGGGAGAGGAGGGGAAGATGAGTTTGCTTCAAGAGGGTTGCTGGACTATCCCTGTTTGTTCTCCATCATCCATGAGGAGTGAAAGTATTAAAACTAATGTCTCTTCTTGAAATCCATTTTTTTGTTTACGGGAAACTTGGAATGTTACAAGACTTTCTTGGAAGTCCCAAGAAAGTATATAATGGGGTAAATGAAAACTGTTATCCAGCCTGGGGCAACAGGCAAAGTCTTCTTTGCCGAAACTCGAATTCTGCCTTTATGTTGTTTTAGTTTTTTTTTATTTCTTTTTTTTTAATTTGAGTGGAGGTAATTAGGTTTTTATTTTTGTTGTTTTTAAATTTTTATTTATTTATTTTGCGGGAGGGAGGTGATTAGGTTTATTTAGTTATTTATTTTTGGTGGAGGTACTGGGGATTGAACCCAGGACCTTGTGTATGCTAGACACGCACTCTACCACTGAGTTATACCCTCCCTCCCAGGTTTTTATTTATTTACCTTTAGTGGAGGTACCGGGGAATGAACCCAGGACCTCATGCATGCTGGGCATGACTCTATCACTGAGCTATACCTTCACCCTTAGATTATTTTACTTTAGATAACTTATTTTTTAATTAAAGACAATTGCACAGCTCCAATAAGGAAACAGCTGTACTGGAGAAACCTGTAATCAAAACAGGAGGTACTTTAACAAGGGACTTGCAAGCTCTGTGACATTTTATTCAAAATACAGTGCATTTCTGTGTTTGAGTACATTATTCTGGACCTGTAAGTCTTATCAGATTCTAAGAGACCCCAAAAGAGAAAGGAATCTCATTCTAAAACTTAAAAACCAGACACTGCGTACTTAGGAAATTCTTAGAAGTCCTAGGAGGTTGAATTGGATTTTTTTCTGAGGTTCTTTCCACACTTAAGGTTTTTATAAACCTCTGAGGCTGCCTTAGTGGCTGTGGGATGTGCTTGCTAGTACAGAGCTGGGCACCAAATGGTAAGGAGGGGAGCCTGCAAACTGACGGTTAGAGATAAAAGAGCGTGGCTTGTTCTTGAGGTACGTACTCCTGGAGTTATATGGCTGTACCTGCCATTCAGATATACCTTAATTTTGTCAAAGTCTTGTCCAAAACATAAGCTTCCCCCAGCAACTATCTACCTTCCAGGGCTGAAGGAGAAATAGAGACTCAGCTGAGAAGTCACTGTAAGGACTCATTGAAGTTCTAAATTTATACAGTCAGCTTATTTATCAGTTTATCCTATCCTTAGATTGGTCCTTATGCCCATGTTTTATTTTGTGAGGTTTTTGTTATTGTTATTTTTGCGGGAGTTTGTTTTTGTTTTAAAGGGAGAATTGACATTTGACCACCTGGTTCCTTGCTAGTAAACTTGTGCAGTGATCTAAGGACGTGTGATGTGCTCTCTACAACAAGCTGACCTTGTGTTTATGGTCCCAGTTGATGTCCTGATGGCTGCACAGTACTGTAACTACAATGAGTCTTCAGGCAAGGGGTTTGATTTAGAATTCACCAGTGACTTAAATTTATTAGATTATAAATAATGTTACTCTGTAAGTGCCAAGAAACAAATCACTTAGGGGCAGTTTATCTTTTATTGGTGCTCTTTTCATTATTTAAAAGTCAAAATTGGTATGTACTAAATTGAAATGCTCTATTTTTACCTTGAAGAAGATCTGTTATGTCAGCAAATTGTATCTTTGAACCTTTCTGAGTAAATATTTGCCTAAGCCAGTGGATGCTTAGCCTAACTTCAGGCTGACAGATTTGTTTACTTGAACCTTATAAGGTTCAAATTATCACTACAAGGTTTTTAACTGCAAGTTTGAAAATTCACAGACTTTTGTAGATGGAGACTTACAATTAATGGCACACGTTAAATAGATTTTGTAGATGGAGACTTACAATTAATGGCACACGTTAAATAGTTCTTTTTATGAGAAATTTTTTAGTAGTAGACTGTTAAATAGAGAATTAATATTTAATATGGTGACTGTTCGTTTTAAGGAAATCTGAAGTTTCAGGAAAAGTAGTGAAACTGAAATGGAAAGAGACAGAGGGTAGTCATTATTTGAATGTTTGAATCACCAGAACTGTAAGGCCATCTTTAGTCACTAAGACTTCCCAAATGTGTTGACCCTAGCATGTTGGTTTTAATATATGATTTAACAGCAAAAGGGGAAGTTCACAAAACAATGGCTGTAACTTTAGAACTGCAGTCTTACAGGGGAAACCTACACAAACATACGTAGTCATAAAATGAACTTACTAAACAGTGTTTTATGGGGGGAACAAGGACAGGGTGGGAGTCGGGAGGCCTGGCTGGGTTCTTGTCTATGTCTGGCTCAGGTGGGATTTAGTCTGTCAGAGATTAATTCCAGCATCTGTAACCGTGAGGGTGGGAGACTGGGCTCTCCCAGGGCCCTCCCACCTCTAACAGCTAGATAATTCCCTTAATTATATTTGGGTAAAATTTTACGTCATTAGAAGGTGCCATTGGGCATATGTACTGTTAGGTGCTTAGCTTAATATTCAGTAAGCAGTATTCAGTACAATGTCTCATGCCATTGAGAACGAAACTGTTTACCAAAAAGTAATCATTGAGCCTTTTAATTTATGGGTTGCATCATCATTTCCTTATCCAGTTCAGTGACCTTGTCTCTTTTCCTATCTTTAATCACTTTGGTATTTAATGCTGGTGACCACACGTCTCGAAATTCTTCCCATTCACAGTTTTTTTCTCTTTTAATACAAAAATAGTGTCTACTTACAAATTATGATTAAAATAAGCCACACTTCAGCCCTCACACTCTCAGCATCAGTGTTAGAGGAACAATTTGGAGTGTGTTTCCTTGCTTTTTTAAGGAATTTTTTCTGAGAAGTGTTGCACTTCCTGTGACTTGCTAGTTGCCCTTTTCCCTCCTACTTTTCACTGTGATGTTCCTTCAGGCCCCACCCAGTCCTCTGCTTCTGTCTTCTAACCAAACCAGACAGGCCATCCCTGCATCTAGAATTCCATGCTCCCTGGCACAATAATACGAAACCACACTCAGCTCCTTAACCATTTTCCTCATCACTCTTTTTTTGG